TGTACAAGTGGTACAATCCCAGTACCGTTGGTGTGCCCTCATTTAAAGCTTTTTCAGCAGTATCCCTGCTTTCCCACCTTGGATTCTATTTCCAAATCTAAGATCATTTGTTTTTATTTTGTGGTACTTTTAAACATTTAAATAAAGGTTAACACATTTGCCTTTTGTGATAAAGGTAAAAGGCTAAATTATATTCATAGGTAATTTATGACTCAATTTTTAGTCAATATTATCCACTCAGAATTTCCACAGAAATGTTAATAGAAATTTATAGATAAAATATTTAGAAATTTTCTCTTCTCATTCTTTCACTTAAATACCAATGAGTATTATGTTTGCTCAATTTTGAACAGCAGGATGAGGAAGTGTAAGAACCAACAAACTTGATAAGCAGTTTTCAAAGCACATTGGCCATGGTGGAAGTTGTGTTTGCTACCTTAATCCTCACCTGCAGAGCACAGTATTCACACTTCCAGTAAACCCTGTCACCAGCAAGTGACAATTATGAGGCAGCTACAGGAAAAAATGAGAATAGTAAACTTTGATATTGACATGGTGGCCTTTTTTTTTTTTTTAACCATTAGGAGAAATCATTGTAGAGATAAAGATTCTCCCCCAGTTTTGGTACAGGAGAGTTTTGTTTATGATTATAGTAACAGCAATGACAATATGTAATAGCTTCCATTTATGTTTACTTCCTTTATGTGATGTACTCTGCTAAGATCCTTAATCAGTCCAATTAGGTAGGTAATAGTCGTCTCATTTCATATTTGAGGAACCTGAGACTCAGAGAGGTTACATATTTTGCCCACGGTTACACAGCTAATAAATGATAGAGCTAGGAGTCACACCAAGTCCAATTCTGAAATCAAAGGCTATGCTCTTCAACATACTATATATTTCCTTCCTTGACAATTTTTTAAAAATAGAACAGATAATTTCTGATTATTTTTACAGGTCTCAATATCTGAAGATACATCTTGGTAGAAGAGTATGAAAATGTTGGGTGGTGGGGAAAGAACTGTTTACTATGGGTTTTTAGTTCCTACTACTAATTTGTGACATTGATTTCTTTGTCAGTGAAACTTCCTGAATCACGATTTCCTTATTAGTAAGGATAAGATCATCTCTGAGATCCCTTATAGTTCTACTGCTGTAATATGTGATCTTAAACCAAAAGTCTCCCTGTCAAAATATATTTTGAAAAGATTGCCTTAATGAGATCAATTTTTTTGTCAATTGGGAAAAGTTAGAAAATAATCATAGGTTAAATAATAATACAACTACCATTTATTGAGTGCCTCTGTAGGCACTGCTCTAAGTTATTTATATATATCGTTCCGGTTAATGATCATAAGAAACCTATGAGCTAGAAGAGGAAATAGAAGCACAAAGTGGTGATACTTCACGGAGTGTGGTATTTCTCCCAGGTCTCACAGTGGTTGGCACTGTGATTTGCATTCAGGTAGCTTAGCTTCTAAGTCTGTGCTTTTAGCCTTGAGCTTACAGCTGTCTCTCTAATAAGAGTGTCTGGTTGTTATTTACTTGCCAAAAAATTTTTTTATCTTGCATACCACAGTATAGAAAGAACAGAAAAAAAGCAATTTTTTCTAGAAAATGATCTATAAAAGATCATAGAGTATTATATCCATTCCATATAAAGTTTTCAGAAACATTGGTCAGCTGGATATTTCTTGAACAATTATATACAAAGAACTGAAGTAGGCATCTTAGGGAAAATGAAGAAAGATAATGGAGGGAACCATTTATTTTCTTGTCCTTTAAGGAAATCTGGCATTGCAGTAATTTTACTTCAGCCTATGAAGTGGTTTATTGGAGACATTCCTTTAAAAAAAATAACAGATTTTGTATGTTATTTTAATTTAGACAATTTTACTAATAATTTAACTTTTTGTTGGCTGTAAAGAGATGACTAACATTTACTTGGTTTGGACTAATGAAATAGTTGTTATTTTTTTTAGTTAAAATTCATTTTTTAATAAAGCAAAAATAAGCTGCTTTTGAAAGTTTCAAGAAAATGTTTTTATTAAGCAAAGGACCTGAATATTAGAGAAAACATTCTCCATTTTTTATTGAAAAAAAGTGGAGTGTGTAAAATTCCCATTTAGTTATTATGAATTTAGAAGAGTGTTCCATTGTAGCAGCAACTCCCTCTGGGGGATACATCCCCATTGGAGTGTGAGCCTGTCAGAATAGAAGGGAGCCCTTGTTGGTTTGAGAAAGCCCCAGAAGTGATTCAGACTTTCACTTCTCCTACCCCAACCCTCTGTTGAAAATCACTGGTTTGAAAAAGGTATCACAGCTCTTTTTTCCAAAGTATCTGGGTACACTATTTAGCACCTTCTTTATTAACTTTTTATTTTTTCCTTTGGCTGCATTGGGTCTTCGTTGCCGCACGCACACTTTCTCTAGTTGTGGTGAGAGGGAGCTACTCTTTGTTGTGGTGTGCAGGCTTCTCATTGTGGTGGCTTCTCTTGTTGCAGAGCACAGGCTCTAGGTGCACGGGATTCAGTAGTTGCAGCACTCAGGCTCAGTAGTTGCGGCACACGGGCCCTAGAGCATGTGAACTTCAGTAGTTGCTGTGCATGGGCTTAGTAGTTGTGGCTTGCGGGCTCTAGAGCGCAGGCTCAGTAGTTGTGGTGCACGGGCTTAGTTGCTCCATGGCATGTGGGATCTTCCCGGACCCGGGATTGAACTCGTGTCCCCTGCATTGGCAGGTGGATTCTTTAACCACTGTGCCACCGGGGAAGTCCTCCAGTTAAGGAGGATTGAGACAAAATGTCTTACTTTTTGTGGCCTTCACAGCACCTAGTATAATAATGATGGACACATAAAAGGTATTTAAAAAAATTTTTTTAATTGAACCCTAGCTAGACCTAAGGTAGGTTTTCTTTTTCTTAGTTTCCACCCAATTTTGTTTAGTCTAAAAGGGATGCTGTTGCTTATTTCTTACTATAATACAATAGATTAGTTTGAATTCTGGGCTTCCAGGCAACCACCTCAGAGAAGACTGCTGTTTAATTTACTTGCTACAAACAAATGGTTCTTCAGTGGAGGGGGCCTCTGCGGTGGTACTGATACCTCTGCTTCCATGTTTGTACTGTAGGTGCTATATAGAATCTGAAAGGTGCCTAGCAGTGACTTCTCTCACTGCTAACACTCAGAAACTTAAAGACAGAGGGGGAAGTGAATGTAGATAGTGTCTAATAGTAACATCATAGTAAGCACTTTTAATGCTTTTAAAGATTTAAAAAATGTATTTAAAGATTTTTTTTTTAGAAACTATCAAAATCAGATGCTCAATTTGGGTCAATTTTCAGATTATCAGTGTATAAGTAATTTGTATTCGCCTACAAATTTACCCTTATAAAATTATATTTTCTTCTAAAACTATACTTTTTAAGCTTTAATTTTTCTTCATTGATCTGTATTGCCTTTAAGTTTTTTATTGAAGTATAGTTGACATACAATATTATATGTTACAGGTGTATAATATAGTGATTTACAATTTTTAAAGGTAATACTGTATTTATAGTTATAAAATATTGGCTATATTCCTTGTGTTGTAAAATATACCATTGTAGCTTATTTTATACATAATAGTTTGTACCTCAGCAGATGAATGGATAAAAAAGATGTGGTGTGTGTACACACACACATACACACACACACACACACACACACACACACACACACAGAGAGTGGAATACTACTCAGCCATAAAAAAGAATGAAATTTTGCCATTTGCAACCACATGGACGGACTTGGAGGGCATTATGCTAAGTGAAATAGGTCAGACAGAGAAAGACAAATACTGTATGATATGACTTATATGTGGAGCCTAAAAAATACAACAAACTTGTGAATATAACAAAAAAGAAACAGACTCACAGATACAGAGAACAAACTGGTGGTTACCATTGGGGAGAGGGGAGGGGCAATATAGGTGTAAGGAATTAAGAGGTACAAACTGTTATGCATTTAATTTTTTGACTTTTCAATATGTGTTTCCTACAGCGTAACTACAGTAGTTTAACATGAATGTTTGTCACCAGTGGGAATATATTGCTTGGCTTAGTGAACTATGTAATGCTTAAAATCACTTTCATTTAATTATCTTCTTTTAAATCCACCTGAAATTTTCGTGAAATAAAGGAAGTTTGAGAGATTACTGATTTTTATCTTAGAGAAAATCAGAAAATACTGATTATACCATACTGTAAATTTTTCCTGAATCATTCTGAATAACAGTGGTTATTAACAGTAACTGACTATATTTCAGAGCAGAGGTTAACAGCATGCCATCAACTGGGGCATATGCCTTAGGCACCCAGTATATCTTTTTGGCCTGAGAACTATATGTCACAGGTTTCTCTCTTCAGTTATTTAACTTTTCTCGGCTTTATAATTCTCTAACTATAAAAAGAGTTTTTCCCCAGCCTATTTCATTTTAATATTAAAATTTGGCTTTGGTTTAACAGGGTAGTGTTCTTCTGTGCTCCCTGACAACTTTACTGGTTTTTTCACATGGATTGTGTTGGGCAATATGCCCCAGGCTGGCCTAGGGAGAAGGGAAATTCTAAACTTTTTTTTATAATGATTAAATCCTTAAGTAAGAGAATCTGTGAAAACTTTTAGCCTTGGAAGAAATGGCCCATGAGTTTCTCTTATTAAATACAAATAATTATGCAAATTCTTTCATGATCCTTAGTTTCCCCCTTTGCCTAATCTTCGATGCATAAAGATAATCATCTATTAGGTAAAGTATTATTCTATTGGCGGTCATTAAAATTCAGCTGTTTAACTTCCTTCTTTATATTAAGGCCACAAGGTCAGGCTTCTGTTTGCCTGGTTTTATGAAAGTAACTGTGGGAGTGCATTTGGTTTGTGGGTCTTTTTTTTTTTTTAATAGCAGGAATGAATCATGATTATTTCTATGCTTAACTGATTTTCTTATGAAAAAAAATTTTTAACTGTAGCTTCACCAGGTGATATGGATCGGACACAAATTGAGCCCAATCTGTACCTAGCATCCGTATTTACAGGTAAGATTTTTTACTTTAAAAGTTTCAGATTTTTTTCATTTCCTTCTTTCTTTCTCTCATAATAATCAACACAGTAGAGAAAATAATTCCAATTTTTTATTCTTTTAAAATATCTATAAACTTACCCCAGGTATAGAACTCCCTTCATGCACTAAACTCAACTCTCCAAAAGTTAGGAGACAAAAAAAAATCTATCATTTCCTTTTGGAAAGTTTATAAAATGTTGAATTAAAAGGCTGCAGGTGTGGTATTCAGAGCACTGAGGCTAGTACTCGAGATAATTCCATCTGGGGGAGGTTATTTGTTGGGACAGGACACTGTTTAAACTTTGAAGTCAGTTTTAAACAAAGTGAAGCAGCTGGAACCTGGCATAAGAAGAAACAAATCTTTCACGTTTTTAGAGAAAAAAAGATTTGGACTTGTTTTTACAGGTGCCAATACATTTATTCTTCCTATAGGAACTGCTGTATTTTTATCTTAAATTATAAATTTTAAAATAAGCATTTGTCAACTCACTTAAAAAACAGAAGCAATAGTAAACTTAAAAAATGTAATAGGGTGTTTATTTCTAAAACACATTTTGGGATGAGATTATAGTAACATTTTAAATCACTCTTTTAAACATGAAAGTAAGGAAAGAAATGTTTAATACTAACTAATTCTGTAAAGCGGAGGCAAATCTCATTTTACATACTATATACTTAACATCAAATGACCAGGCATCTTCTTCATCAAGGCTTGTAGTATTTGTTCTCAAGCACTGAAGCTATGATGTTGCAAAATCTGTAGGGCTGGGTTAAGTATGTGAGGAGAATTGAATACAGCAGGAGAGTTTAGCAGCTGCTTAAACAAGGAATTTAAGCAAGAGTAGATGAACCCACGGTGGACAGGAAAAAATGCTTCAAGAACTCAGTAAAACACAGCTGAAATACTGTAACATTTTCATAGACATCTGGGAAGCAACTGTTTTGCTGGAACTCAGGGTTGATTTTAAAGACTGGATGAGTCTAAGCAAGCTGGTAGCCGTAAGGAACCACACACTCTCTAGGTAGAAACAAATCAGTTTGGTTCAGCAATCATTTTAAGGCCCAGTGTGTACCTAGCATTATGCTACAACTTTGTAGAATGCAGACGTAAACAAGACAAAGTTGTTGTCCTCATGGGGCACATTTAACAGGAGCAACAGACCCACAAGCAAATAACAGTAATACAAGAGATAAGGTCACAGATACTTAGTGTGTACCTACTGTACTAGTCACTCGGAAGACAATGAGTGTAAGTTGCAGTCCATGCTCTTAAGGAATATATTGTCCAGTGGATGTGACAGACACATAAATAATTACAGTGCAGTCTCCTATGTGCTGCAGTAACATTGCCTTCAGAGAATAAGGCATCCGCAGTTAACAGGAGAGGAACCCCTGTATTTCACCACTACGGCTGGGAAAACAACTCAGAGTGTAATTCATCTGCACATGTTCTTGAGTATTTAGGGTCTGCAGACCCCTTAGAGACATTGATAGCTATGACTACCTGCCTCCTTTCCAAACTGTACTTATATGAAAATAATTTGCATATGGTTTCAGGGTATTCACAAATAGATCCTGGGTCACCCATCCATGGACTCTGGATTCAGATCCTTCGGGTACTTGATTAAAGATTATTACCTTTGTTTCCTTTTTAATTTTATTTTTAAATGTGCAGTATATAAGAAACTCATCTTGATCTGCATGTAGAAATACCCAAATCCAGGCAATTTAAAGTCACTATACTATCTATTCGTCGACTCATAGAAGAATCCCATAAGTTTATGTGGCTTATGCCATGTGCAGTTACTGGATCTGAGTGAGGAGTGTGCAGTGCTGCATTCTTCTGTGAAGTTACTGAGGAATTTTTTACTTCTTTTCTCTGCTTGTCTCCTGTTGTTTTAGGAGAGAATACTTTGTTTGGATTCCTCTCAGTTTGCAAATAACAGAGACATAATAATGTGTTACCCACTGTTTGAAGATTAGAGTCAGAATCTAAAACCTGCTGATGAAATGGATTATCTAAACCTAAAAAGCTTTTAGAAAGTTTTGTATATGTATTTTTAAAAATACACATGTGATATACAGGCAAATTCTTAAATGAACATAAAAAATCTCGTATTATTATTTTATTACTTAAAATAAATTAGTTTTAGATTTTCTGTTCCTTAGTCTTACAATCAAAGAATAGAAAACAAAATTTCTTTATGAATTTTAAATATTTTTAAAGCAAAAAAATTGAATTTCAAATGCCTAAAGAGTTTTACAAATACGACTTAGGATGCTTCAAATACATGGTCTCGCTCAGTGACATCTCCTGCTTAAATGCATGCCAGGTTAAATGACGTACTGCCTACCCACAGAATCAAGGAATAATCTCCCTTTTTTAAAAACAAATCTGAAAACAGCTGTTGAAACAATTACATCATAGAGTAATGACATGACTGTGGAAAGTTAAAAAGTCAAACTTTGAAAGCATCAAACTACATTTAATATAGGTAGAAAATTTATGTTTGCTTTAATGATGATTTATTAAGATATTATGTCTTTTCTTTAAAAACAAATTAAACTCTGTGAGGACCATAACTGCATATGAATGTGACTCTTTTTGCCTGTTAACAGTGATGCTTTTGAAAAACGTTTCCAGTCTAAAAAGTTCTCTTTTAAAGCTCTAAAACTGTGACTGTTTAGCTTGTGTAAATGAGCACTTCAAAAAAACCTTTCCAAAATGTACATTAACAAACACCTTTAGATAAGGTGATGTATTTTATTGATATAACTCATTGATTAAAACTCAGTTACTAGGGCTTCCCTGGTGGCGCAGTGGTTGAGAGTCCGCCTGCTGATGCAGGGGACACGGGTTCGTGCCCCGGTCCGGGAAGATCCCACATGCCGCAGAGCGGCTAGGCCCGTGAGCCATGGCCGCTGAGCCTGCACGTCCGGAGCCTGTGCTCCGCAACGGGAGAGGCCACAAAAGTGAGGGGCCCACGTACTGCAAAAAAAAAACAACCAAAAAAAACTCAGTTACTAGAGTTAAAAGTAGCCTAATTATTTGGAGGCCTTCTAAAGCTGTGGGGGTTTTTTTCTTAGTGTATTTCAGTGACACATTCTTATCCCTCTCTCCTAAGTCGACTGCCTTTTGCAGCCCACTCTGAGGGTCATTGCCTCTTAGGATAATTTCTTTCCAGTTCCATAAAAGTAAGTGCTAATCTGTTTTAAGTGCTTTTGATTTGCCAGCACTATTCAAAACACTTTATATGCATTATCCCATTTAATCCGCATAAAACCCTCTGAGGTAGGTACTCTTACCTTTATTTTGTAGATGAGGAAATGAGGGTTTAGAGAAGTTATGTAACTTTCCAAAAGTCCCTTATCACTCATTCTCCCTCATACCCCTTACCTATTTTTCATTATAGCACTCATCACTGCCTGACATAATATATGTTTGTTTCCTTACTTGTTTGTCATTTGCCCTTCACATCCAGCTGGGATATGATGTCAGTGAGATTAGAGCCTTTGTTTTCTTCACTGCCGAAATCTCCAGAGTCTAGAACAGTGCCTGGCACATAGGTGCTCAGTTGATATTTATTGAGTTAACAAATGGATGAGCCTAGCCCTGCCCTATTATGGAATCCATGCTCTGTTCCTCCCCCTTCCTCTTTTACTCCTTCCCACATGAAAACCTCACACTGACAGTCTTGATGGGACCATTCCCAGGTGACTGAACAATAGATCTCATTTGGACCCCAGACTTGACTGATCATAAAGGGACTTGTGTTTGAAACTTCATCACTGCTCCTCTCCTTAGCTGCCCCTACCATTACATACCACTACTAAAATGGAATTTCCCTCAACAAGCTTTAAAAGTACTAATTTGTTATGTGGATAATTAAGGTATTTGGTATCAGGCAAAAAGCAATGAGTTGTAGTCTCAGCTCTACCAATTACGAATTAGGTGAATTATACTAGACTCTTTTGAAAACCTTGTGTGACTCGTACCTTGTGTGACTCTTCATTCTTGGGTCTCTTCCTACTTATCTAACACTTCCCTTTTGTGTTCCTCTATTTTCTCTTTATTCACCTTTCTTTGTCCTTCTCTTATTTCTGTCATCATTTATTTTGTTGTCCTCTTTTTCTTCATTGCCTTCCACATCTTTTAAGTCCTATCTCACCTGCTACTTCCACCTAATTTAAACCAAGTATTCCTCTACATGTTTATCTCCACTACTAGGTTTTAAGCTTCTTGAAGATGAGGACTATTTCTTTTTCACCTGTGTATCATCTTCTCAACACCATCTTAGCTCCACACATACAGTAGGCTTGTATAGATGTTTAGTTAGTGAGCATATGCTTTCGGAAAAGCCCACTCTGACATCTCTGTGCCTCAGTTAACTTTACCTTGTCTGCCTCCCAGAATTACTGTTAGGATGAGATAATATGATGGGCAAAAGATCTTTGCAAAATTTTAATTGCTGTATAAATCTAAGGCAGTAACTATAAGAAATAGCATAACTTTACAATAATTGAATTTAATATGTTCCTTGAGACTTGGAAACTTCTTCAAGGTCCAAACTAAAAAATAGTTATAGCTCTTGTTACATCACTGAACAATTTAATCAGTAATTTAATGTGCAGAGTAGAAAATAAAGGCACATGTAAAGCAGTTTTGTGAAACTGGATAACAAAGAAAAGAAGAATATCTGGCATCAGTGTAGTTTTTGACAGATATGTAAGTAATGCAAGGAATGGAATTTTTCTTAATCGGGGGAAGATAACATTTAATTTTACAGGTTGAAAATTAATTTTGCTCTCAAGCCTTAGTTATAGCCTGTATTGGTTTTTACTTTATTGACGAGGTAAGCTCTGATCTTGGATACTTCTCTTGGTTATTTTGTATATTCTGCATCACGGCTTTGTAAAATGTCAGAATATTTAAACAATGCTTATGTCCTATGAAGGTTTTTTTTTTTTTTGTGGTACGCGGGCCTCTCACTGTTGTGGCCTCTCCTGTTGCGGAGCACAGGCTCTGGGCGCGCAGGCTCAGCGGCCATGGCTCACGGGCCCAGCCCCTCCGTGGCACGTGGGATCTTCCCAGACCGGGGCACGAACCCGTGTCCCCTGCATCAGCAGGCGGACTCTCAACCACTGCGCCACCAGGGAAGCCCCTATGAAGATTTTTTAAAAGAAGTTCTTATTGTTTCTTTTTTTTTAATTTATTTCTTTTTTAAATTTATTTTTATTTTTGGCTGCGTTGGGTCTTTGTTGCTGCGCTCAGACTTTCTCTAGTTGCAGCAAGCGGGGGCTACTCTTTGTTGTGGTGTGCTGGCTTCTCAGTGCGGTGGCTTCTCTTGTTGCAGAGCACGGGCTCTAGGTGCGCGGGCTTCAGCAGTTGTGGCTTGCGGGCTCTAGAGCACAGATTCAGTAGTGGTGGCGCATGGGCTTAGTTGCTCCATGACACGTGGGATCTTCCCGGACCAGGGCTTGAACCCGCGTCCCCTGAATTGGCAGGCGGATTCTTAACCGCTGCCCCACCAGGGAAGTCCCTTGAATGTTTATTTAATATATATTTTTTCAGCATTTAAAATGTGTTTGGTATCATTCCAGACACAGAGACTACAAGTACTGAATAAACCATAAGTTTATAAACAATGTTTCTTAATTTTAGTTTTTATCATATCCTGACAGAGCTAAATTTCAACAAGTCTTTTCCTATTTAAAATATTTGTTCTATTTAAATTGATATAATAATTGCTTTCTTCTTAAAGGATTATGCTGTTGCATTATAGTTTGTAGTACTGCTATAATTATACGAAATCTTATTTCCCTTTCCTCTTTCATTAAAAATAAATCGATACAAGTAACAAAAAGGAACGGTATATTAAAATAGTGTTTGTTAGACTTCCTAATATGAAAGGAATTTTTCTTTTACAAGTATTTTGATCATCTTGAACAGCTGTGATTGAGTCATCATTGAATCTCCAAAACTGACTACTTTTACTGTGGTCCCTATAAAAACTTGATGGAAAATTTCACTTTATTACTGTGGCAACTATTTTAAAAGTATAAAGGAGTTTTAGAAAAATTACTATGACTCTTGACTCAGAGATGTCTTTAAGATTATTTAGGATAATTTACTTTTAAGATGCTTATTATTATGTATATATGGTAAGTACATGAAATTTGAAATGAGGATTTTTGTGGTCTTAAATAGTACCAAGTTGGCATTCTTTATGCTCTTAGGCAATGTGCTTTTTAAACTTAGAGGAGTGAATTAGGGTATATGCAGATAGATATATATATGTAGTCAACTCTGGGTTTTTTTAAACATATTAATGAATTCTTCATTTCAAACTGCCTCCCTGACTTGGTCTTACCTAGCATTTATCATCTGTACCACAGCTTTGGGCACTTGTATACCATCTTAGTCTATTCAGGCTACTATAACAAAATGCTATAGACTGAGTGGCTTTTAAACAACAGAAATTTATTTCTCACAGTCTGGAGGCTGGGCATCCAGAATCAAGGTACCTCTTCCTGATTCCTGTGTCCTCACATGGTCGAAGGACTAGCATGGTCGAAGGGGCTAGCAAACTCTCTGGGGCCTCTTTCATAAAGGCACTACTCTCATTCATGAGGGCTCCATCCTCATGATCTAAGCACCTCCCAAAGGCCACACTTCTTAATACCACCACACTAGGCATTAGGATTTCAACATATGAATTTTGGGGAGACATAAACATTCAGATCATAACATATACTTTTAAAATGTTGTTTCTTAATTGTTCAGGGGTGGAAGTGGAAAGGAGGGCGTATTTTACCTCTGTGACAAGTTCTGAGCACCTTGAGAAAAGAAATTATCACAAATGCAATCCTTTTTTGATCCCCAGTATTATTTAGGAAAATTTAAGGCATGTAAATACCCGGGTACACTTGTTTAGCTGAAGGAGTTTCTCCTTTTTACAGGTGGTAAAGCAGTTCCACTCTTCACTTCGCAGACATCACCTGCCAAGATGTCCGTGACACCAGCCTCAGTGAACCTGGAGGACCGCTCTCAGTCTCTGAGCATCAGCACTGTCCAGGGGGACACAGAGTCCTCGGGAACAGATACCTTCTGAATGTAAAGTGAGAGCCAGTACAGTATTTGTGCTGCTGGTTTTGAGGTCATTTTTCTCTGGCATAAAACTCTCTCTCAGACCCTTTTGGTCCTTCAACATATTCAGAAAAACAATTTTTAATTTTTTATTAAAATGAAAAGTGTAATTTGGGTATTTAGGTGACATTTTAAAATAAAATAATTTAAATGGATATCATCATGAGTCTGTGTTATTTCTTAGAATCCTGAGGCAGCGTAGAATAGTGGAAAGGGCATAACTTTTGACATCTAAAAATTTATTCTACAGATATAATTATCTGTACTTAGTTATGAAATTAAGTTGCTCAAGGTTATTCTGTTTCTCTTTTATATATACATTCATTTGTATTATTTTTTAGATTACACATATAATTGGTGTCATACAGTATTTGTCTTGTCTCGCTTATTTCATTAAGCATAATAATCTCTAGGTCTGTCCACGTTACTGCAAATGACAATGTTTCTTTTTTTTTATGGCGGAGTAATATTCCATTATATATATATATATACCACATATCTGAGATATATTGTTAAAGTGAAAAAGGCCATGTGCAATATAGTGTATGAATTATGCTACCATCATTTAAAATGAGGTGGGAGGAATCCAAATATATGGCATGTATATACACATATGCTTACATACACATATTTGCTTATGTATCCATTAAATATCTTTGGAAGGATAGACAAAAAACAGCTAACTTGGTCTCCAAGGGGGGAGATTGAGTGGCTAGGTGATAGAGAGGTTGAGTGACAGGAGTTAGGTATGACTGTATTTACTGTGGATTTTTATATACCTTACATGTACACCTTATAAATCTTTATAGTGTATAAACCTCTGAAATGTGATTGGATTAACTTTAAAAGTGTAAATACATAAAATTAAAAGAAAATAAAACATGGCTTTGTAATCAGACACATGTATGTTCTAATTCCAGTTTCTTCACCTTGGTCTGTGATGGGGCAAATAAAGCCCTCCTTCACAGCTGCCTGGGTAAATGGGTTTAATACCTGGTTTGCAGGATACTGGGGATTATCAATTGTGTTGGGGGTAGCACCCACCATGGTGCCTGGCACCACATAAGTGCTCAATTAATGGTGGATGTCATTATCTTGAGGGGTTTAATAAGCATCCTACACTGGACAGTAAGCATATAAGAAGAAGGGCAGCCTAGCATTAGCAAAGACATTTATCTCTCTGAAAAATTTTTTCTGTGACAACTAAAATTCAAACACAGTAACTATAGTCATCCTTGACTTTTCTCAGCATTTTTCTGGTGAGTCTCAGCCCTGGCTGTACAGTAGAACCTCTGGGAGCTTTAAAAATGCCTGGTTTCCATATCCAGGGATTCTGATCTAATTGATCAGAGTGGGACCCAGGCATTGGTATGAAAAAAGAAAAAAGACCTTCCCAGATGATTTTAATGTGCACTCAAGGTTGAGAATTACTGAAGAGCAATTTAGAATTCCTTAAACTTCTAGTAGGACCCATTGTCGGGGAAACTTAGAGTCTGAGTGTTTTTTCTCACTGAAGATAGAAGATTCAAGAACCTGTGGAAACTCAGAAATGTGTCCACACGTGTTTCTTCTTATGTCACAGCTCCTCAAGCTTCACTCAGGTATTTGGTTACTGAAATGCTCTAGGTTTCACTTTAGAACCTATTTTTCTTTGCTATGGCCTTTTAGCCATGTCTGCTTGTAATAGTTCCCATTAAACAAGAAGAAGAAAAATGCTGTTCTGTGGATCATAATTTGGTTTTGATGTTCGCTTACAAGTCTCTGATATACGAAAGCTGCCGAAATGTTTCTAAGTGCTGCTTCGTTTTAAACATTACCCACCCCCCGCCCCAGTTTCTGGTTTTCAGGACTTTTTCTGTTTAGGAAAGATGTTTCTTAATTTTAGCAAAAGCATTTTAAATGATTTTAATTATTGTGATTAAACATGTTTATTCCACCTGCTTCTTTTTTCTTTAATTGAAGTATAGTTGATTTACAAAGTTGTGTTAGTTTCAAGCGTAGACGAAAGTGATTCAGTTATACTATATATATAGTTTATATATATACTTTATATTCTTTTTCAGATTATTTTCCATTATAGGTTATTATAAGATATTGAATATAGTTCTGTGTGCTATACAGTAGGTCCTTGTTGCTTATCTATTTTATATATAGTAGTGTGTATCTGTTAATCCCAAACTCCTAATTTGTCCCTTCCCCACTCACTTTCCCTGTCAGTAACCATAAGTTTGTTTTCTATGTCTTTGAGTCTATTTTTGTTTTGTAAATAAGTTCATTTTGTATCATTTTTTTTAGATTCCACATATAAATGGTATCATTTTGTCTTTGTCTGACTTATTTCACTTAGTATGATAATCTCTAGGTCCATCCATGTTGCTGCAGATGTCAATATTTCATCCTTTTTATGGCTGGGTAATATTCCATTGTATATACCACACCTTCTTTATCCATTCATCTGTCGATGGACATTTAGGTTACTTCCTTGTCTTGGCTATTGCAAATAGTGCTGCTATGAACATTGGGATGCATGTATCTTCCGAATTAGAGTTTTCATCTTTTCCAGATACATGTCTGGGAGTTGGATTGCTGGATCATATGGTAACTCTATTTTTAGTTTTTTAAGGAACCTCCATGCTGTTCTCCATAGTGGCTGCACCAATTTACATTCCCACTAACAATGTAGGATGTTTCCCTTTTCTCCACACCCTCTCCGGCATTTATTATTTGTAGACGTTTTGATGATGGCCATTCTGACCAGTGTGAGATGATACCTCATTGTAGTTTTGATTTGCATTTCTCTAGTAATTAGCGATGTTGAGCATCTTTTCATGTGCCTATTGGCCATCTGTATGTCTTCTTTGGAGAAATGTCTATTTAGGTCTCCTGCCTATTTTTTGATTGGGTTTTTGTTTGTTTGTTTGTTTGTTTGTTTTTGCGATATGTGGGCCTCTCACTGTTGTGGCCTCTCCCGTTGCGGAGCACAGGCTCCGGACGCGCAGGATCAACGGCCATGGCTCATGGGCCAAGCCGCTCCATGGCATGTGGGATCTTCCCGGACCGGGGCACGAACCCGTGTCCCCTGCATCGGCAGGCGGACTCTCAACCACTGCGCCACCAGGGAAGCCCTGTTTGTTTTTCTGATATTGAGCTGCATGAGTTGTTTGTATATTTTGGAAATCAATCCCTTGTTGGTTACATTGTTTGCAAATATTTTCTCCCATTCTGTAGGTTGTCTTTTCATTTTGTTTATGGTTTACTTTGCTGTGCAAAGTCTTTTAAGTATAATTAGGTCACATTTCTTTATTTTTGTTTCAATTCCATTATTTTAGGAGATGGATTCAAAAAGATGTTGCTGCAATTTGTGTCAAAGAATGTTCTGCCTATGTTTTCTGCTAGGAGTTTTATAGTATCCAGTCTTACATTTAGGTCTTTAATCCATTTTGAGTTTATTTTTGTGTATGGTGTTAGAGAATGTTTTAATTTCACTCATTTACATGCAGGTGTCCAATTTTCCTCAGCACCACTTATTGGAGAGACTATCTTTTCTCCATTGTATATTCTTGCCTCCTTTGTCATAGATTAATTGACTATAGGCACATAGGCTTTCTTTCCTGTTCCATTGATTTATATGTCTGTTTTTGTGCCAGCACCATACTGTTTTGATTACTGCAGCTTTGTAGTATAGTCTGAAGACAAGGAGTATGATTCCTCCAGCTCCATTCTTCTTTCTTAAGATTGTTTTGGCTATTCGGGGTCTTTTGTGTTTCCATACAAATTAAAAATTTTTTCTTTTAGTTCTGCGAAGAACTAAAGAAAAGAACTAGATATTTTATTCTTTTTGATGTGATGGTAAATGAGATTGTTTCCTTAATTTCTCTTTCTGATATTTTGTTGTTAGTGTATAGGAATGCAACAGGTTTCTATATGTTAATTTTGTATCCTGAAACTTTACCAAATTCATCGATGAGCTCTAGTGGTTTTCTGGTGGCATCTTTAGGATTTTCTGTGTATAATATCATGTCATCTGCAAACAGTGACAGTTTTATTTCTTCCTTTCCAATTTGGATTTCTTTTATTTCTTTTTCTTCTCTGATTGCTGTGGCTAGGACTTCCAAAACTATGTTGAGTGAAAATGACAAGAGTGAGCATTCTTATCTTGTTCCTGATCTTAGAAGGAATGCTTTCAGCTTTTTACCATTGAGTATGATGTTAACTGTGGGTTTGTCATATATGGCCTTTATTATGTTGAGTTCTATTCCCTCTGTGCCCACTTTCTTGAGTTTTTATCATAAATGGTTGTTGAATTTTATCAAAAGCTTTTTCTGCATCTATTGAGATGATCATATGGCTTTTATCCTTCAGTTTGTTAATTGATGTATCACGTTGATTGATTTGCAGATATTGAAAAATATTTGCATCCCTGGGATTAAATCCCATTTGATCATGGTACATGATCCTTTTAATGTATTGTTGGATTCAGTTCGCTAGTATTTTGTTGAGGATTTTTGCAGACAAGTTCATCAGTGATATTGGCCTGTAATTTTCTTTTTTTGTGATATCTTTGTCTGGTTTTGATATCAGGGTGTTGGTGGTCTCATAGAATGAGTTCAGAAGTGTTCCTTTCTCTGTAATTATTTGGAACAGTTTCAGAAGGATAGGTGTTTACTCTTTTCTAAATGTTTGGTAGAAATTACCCTTGAAGCCATCTTGTCCTGGACTTTCGTTTGTTGGGAGTTTTTAAATTAGTGATTCAATTTCAGTACTGGTAATTGGTCTGTTCATATTTTCTGTTTCTTCCTGGTTCAGTTTTGAGAGATTGTACTTTTCTAAGAATTTGTTCATTTCTTCTAGGTTGCCCATTTTATCGGTGTATAGTTGCTTGTAGTAGCCTCTTACGGTCCTTTGTGTTTCTGTGGTGTCAGCTGTAACTTCTTTTTCATTTCTAATTTTATTGATTTGGGCCTTCTCCCTTTTTTTCTTGATGAGTCTGTCTAAAGATTTAGCAATTTTGTTTATGTTTTCAAAGAACCAGCTTTTAGTTTCATTGATCTTTTCTACAGGCTTTTTAGTCTCTATTTCATTTATTTCTGCTCTGATCTTTATTATTTCTTTCGTTCTACTAATTTTGAGTTTTGTTTGCTTTTCATTCTCTAGTTCCTTTAGTGTAAGGTTAGGTTGATATTTTTCTTGTTTCCTGAGGTAATCTTATATCGCTATAAACTTCCTTCTTAGAACTGCTTTTTAGCAAAAGCATTTTTTATTTAAAGGTGTTGGTAGTTTTTTCACCCTAATCAGAAAACCTGCCTTTTCTAGTTTAAGGTAGAAGTATAATCTTTGATTTATTCCACTTTGTATGTACTTGAGCTTTTCTTAAAAAAAAAAAAAAAAGTTTAGTATCTTTTCATCAGTATTTTGTTTGTTTATAGGATTATTTCTGGCCAAGTTTCCATCTGTATATATTCTGCCAAGCACCTCAAACTTCTTGGAGTAAAATTATGTAAGTAAAAGTAAATGGCTTAAAAAAATTTTTTTTAAAGTAAATGGTAATTTTGATGTTACAAGCTTTAAAATGTTCATTTTATTTTTCATTTTATAATTTCCATCTTCCAGCATGAACTATTTAAAAGACATGCTGTTAATAAGTAGACTCTATCAAGATCAAGGCTGTTACTATTGTTGGGCTTGCATGCCAGGGTAACAGGTATTTTAAATGTTTCATTGGTTTAAATCCTAAAATAAATTTGCTTTTTGTGCATTTTAATAGAATCTTGAAAAAATGTTTTTATTTTCAAAAGATGATTACATCAGTATATTTCTTATCACTTGCATATTTCTGATCTCTTAATTTTTCTTTTAAAATATTAAACATATATTTAAAAGTTTTTCTATTAAAAGCTCAACATTTTTCTAAAAAATAAATAAAATAGCATTTCTTAGTTTGTGGTGGATTACTGCCCCCGATCCAAGAATAATTCTGTAGTTGAAACATTTTTTGAAACAACTTTTAAAAAATGTCCTGAAGTCATCATTTCCTTATAGATGAGTAACTTGAACTTCTGTGATGTTGCTAGGAAGAAACCCACTGAAATATTCTTTTCTACTATACATCTATATATATACCTGTTTAACAAAAATTAACTCTGAAGGCTGTTGGACACACAGTGCGGTGTGGATACTTACGGCCCAGGCTGGGTAGCCATCTCAGGATTCGTCATTCTCGCCCTTTGGTCATCTGCCTCTCCTGGAGAATGAAGGTTGACCAGGGAATTGTCTCTTCCTAGTATGGGATCACCATTTGGTCACCTAACATCAGTTACATAGCAGTTTTAAAAACTCTCTTACAGATGCATTGGAAAAAATGAATATTATAATGAGAAATCCCATCATTACAGTTCAGAAAATTTCAGGAGGCCAGTTTTTTACTTGACCTAGCCCATGCCAGGAGAATAGATTCCAAGTCTCAGACTGTCAAACCTTTGAGAGTAATCAGCCTGTGTCTGTACTTTTTAAAAAATTAATTAATTTATTTTTGGCTGTGTTGGGTCTTAGTTGCAGCATGCGGGATCTCTGTTGCAGCATGCGGGATCTTTCGTTGGCGGCATGCGAGCTCTTCATTGTGGTGTGCGGACTTCTCTCTGGTTGTGGTGCACAGGCTCCAGAGCACATGGGATCTGTAGTTTTGTGGCACGTGGGCTCTCTAGTTGTGGCCTGCAGGCTTAGTTGTCCCGTGGCCATGTGGGATCTTAGTTCCCCGACCAGGGATCGAACCTGTGTCTCCTGCATTAGAAGGCGGATTCTTTACCACTGGACCACCAGGGAAGTTCCTGTGTCTGTACTTTTTAAAGGTATTATTTCTTCTTGTACTGAAGTGTTTACCTAGAAACAATCGGAAATATTAGCTAGAGTGCCGATGTCCCCCTGGTGAGGCCAATAAATATTGTAAAGCTATGTGATGGAAAGCAAACAAATCAAACCTCTCTTGCTGGATTATTATAGTGTGAATGGTCTCATTTAATAGTTTCAACCAAAGGAAGGGATAAATTACTGACACATGTCTTAAATTCAGGGACCCCTAACCTAGGTAAAAACCCTCAAGCAAATCAATAGACTCCTCTAAACTTCTGGGAGGTTGCTTCTCTGAGACCTCTGAAGAGACCCAGATAGTGAGACTGAACAGGATTTAAAATCTTGAAGGGAACTGGTAAGAAGTCGCAGGAGGGCTTCCCTGGTGGCGCAGTGGTTGAGAGTCCGCCTGCCGATGCAGGGGACACGGGTTCGTGCCCCGGTCCGGGAAGATCCCACATGCCGCGGAGCGGCTGGGCCTGTGAGCCATGGCTGCTGAGCCTGCGCGTCCGGAGCCTGTGCTCCGCAACGGGAGAGGTCACAACAGTGAGAGGCCCGCATACCAAAAAAAAAAAAAAAAAAAGAAGTCCCAGGAATAGTTCTTGGTATGCATAGAGGTCACAGATAAAGAACAGGCCTGGCACTGCACAATTGATATGATCTATATGTAAAGAGTTGAAAGTGTATGTCTTTTTCCCTGAATCATTATGACAAACAGTGATAAGGATTTCAGTCGACACTTTGTAGCCTGCTTTTCCTGAATGAAGATATATTTTTCTTTTCTATTTTTCACGAGATGTTGCATTAGGAATAAGTATCAAGTGAGGAGGTATTTCTACCATGGGGATAGTTTAATGGGATTTCTTGGTAAGCTTGGTAAGTATTTTTATTTCCTCTTTGCATGGGTTATGAAAGTACCATAGACACTCAGGATTATTTTAAAAGGTGATTGGGTTGATTTTTCTCTCTGGATAAAATATTGGCTGTGTGTAATTCTATATAATTATAACAACCAGCCTGAATGTCTGGGTTGGGAGATAATCATTGTAAGTATAAAGGAGATGTTCAGATCATACTCTTGACGGGCTGTTTGCTAGTGTTAAGCAGAGGTATTCCTATGATTTGAGTGACCCCTGGAGTTGGAAATGGGTAACAGGCCCAGCAAGAGGTCAGGTTAGTAGATGAGGAAACATTCTTAGAAACAAGGTGAGGAAGTAATATATTTTGTTTCAGAAAAGGGAGGGGAAAATGAAGAAAAGTAGAGTCATAGAAAACACAGAGAAGGAAATCAGTAGTCCATAGTGACATATTAACAATCTTACAAGGAAGGCAGTAGGTTTGATTGGATATAATAAAGTTCTAGTTTTGTTTCATTGTCTTGGGTGGAATTTGCACTTCTGAAGTTGTCTGCTTGATCAGAAAGGTCTCCGATAACCTGTTTGTGCCTTGAAGCCATCTGCTTCTGGAGGCTTCTTTGGTTAGCCTCAACTTGCAGTCTGTCATGGGAGTGAACGTCCATTGGTCTGAGTTGGAAGTTCCTTTTCATTGTGACATATTACACCCTGGGTAGACTTCTGTAGCTGTTGTCAAGAGGACCTGAAATGGCTCCTTTCAGTAATTTAAAGCATTTTTGCATCTATATCACTTAGTATTTTCTGCAAAACAAACCACCCCCAGACTAGGTGGCTTAAAACAACCATTTATTTATTTATGATTCTGTGGAGCAATTTGGCTGGGATCAGCTGGGATAGCTTTGCTCTGCTCTGCTCCTCATGGTGTTGTCTGGCCTTATACGCGCATTATAGTCCGCTGATAGTTGATGGTCTCATTCACACATCTGGCGGTTGCTGGCTGTTGGCAGGGCAACGGAGGTAACTGGGCCCATCATCTAGCAGGCTAGCCTGAGCTCATTCACGTGATATTGGTTGAGAGTTCCTAAGAGCAGCAAGAGAGGGCAAACTCCAATGTGCGAGCAGTTTTCAAACCTCTGCTTGGGTCATGTTGTTAATGCCTTGTTGGCCAAAGCAAGTCATTTCCAAGCCCAGACTCAAAGAATAGAGAAATAGTCTCCATCTCCTTATGGAAAGATCTGCAGTCACATACAAAGAAGCATGCATATGGGATGGGAAGAATTTGTGGCCATTTTTGCAATTAAACACACACTGATATCTTTTCTGGTGAAGCTGGTCACTGAGCTAGGAGTCATACAAAGATGTGGATGATGTCTCTTTTGGAAAGGTGGCTTGTGCATGTTGAGCATAAGACAGTACACTAGATTGACTTCTTACAGTATTCAGCTAGATCTGCATGCAACAAAATAGAGTGATTGGTGGCATTTTTCCCAATCACATAGGATATCCTGTAATGATGTCCTATGGAAAACAATCTGTATGAGCTCTGAGGAGGTGATCATGTGGCCGTTAACGATACTGACAAAACATTAGACTAAGGCAGATTAAGGATTTTTGATAGTTTAGGAGTCAGCAAATTTTCTCAGTGAAGGGCCAGATAGTAAATTTTATATCGGCTTTGAAGGCCAAATATAATCTCTGTCACATATTCCATATTCTCTTCCTCCTCCTTTTTTCTTTTTAAACAAAATTTTAAAATACGTAAGAAACACTTTTTTAGCTTGTGGACCGTATGAAGAGTCTGTAGGCCAGATCTGTCCCATGGGCTGTAGTTTGCCAACCCCTGATTGGGACAATTTTATCTTCAGTGTCTCATTTATTCTTTCTACCTTTCCTGCATGGGGAGTACAGTTTTTATGTTAGGAGAGAAACCCTGCAGAGTTCCTATATGATTGTTACAGTGAAATGAATTCCACAGTCACTGGGTAGGAAAGTAGGCATTCCCCATGCTAGGAACACAAAGTCTAACAACTGTAACATCTGTAGCTTCTCATCAAGGAATGGGTTTTTCCATCCTGAAAACTTACAGACTACTGATAGTAAATATAGCCTAGAGACGTGGGTAGTTGTATAAAATCGGTTACTAAATGTTCAAAGGGCCTTGAGAAGGAGTTTCTGTATTTTGTCTTGACCCTCTCGGGTTTACCTGGGTTATGTTAGCACAGGTAAGATGTAATTTTACCACTTCCTAGTCAAACTTTGAAAATTTTTCCATTATTTATCTACTGTGGAACTTGATTTGTTCCTGATGTAGAAAATCATGGGAAATTTAATTAGCATCCACTGCTTGGATCGTGGTACTCCCGAGCAGTTGTCAGGAGATTCTCAGAACCCATCTTTATGGAGAAAATGTCCCTGTAATTGCCAATATTGTTTTTCAGAAGTTTGGGTTGACTGTTATGAGCCAATTATAGCGAGTCTAAACTGAGCCAGTTTTCCTTCCCAGTTTGGTGGGGATACATGTCAATTTGGTAGAACTCATAGTTGGGGTAATAAAAGCTGCTTGTTAGAATGTGAGTTAGCAAGGGCATTCATTGGTTTCCGGAAGAAGGTATTGTCTATGAGTATCTCCCTTAACTGACAGGTGTTTTTCAATATCGAATAGCTTTTAGTGAATCATTAATATCCTTACCATTTTCATTAAGGTATCTTAAGAAACCAAAAATCCCCTTTTTTTCCCATAGCATCCCAAAGTTATGAACAATTCCAAATTCATATATATCTGTTTAATGTTTACCATTTCTCCATTTGCCAGAGTGCAAGTCAGAGAAATCAGTTCATTCACATGGGCAGATTGAACATTAGGCAAAATGGAGCACTTTGGTAGCTGCATGTTCAGTGGTGGCAGTGTATCCTGCTCAGGAAGTGCCTTTATCCTTTCTAAGATAAGAGCCATCTACAAACAGACTTAAATTAGAATTGACTAAGATTTGACCTGGGCATTCTTATGTATATAGTTTTTGCTTTTTCCTGAAGTATATAATTTACACAGAAAATTGCTCATCCTGAAGAGCTCAGTGAATTTTCACACGTGTATACATACCTGTGTAACTACCTCCCAGCTGGAAATAGAACATTTCCTAGCACTTCAGAAGGTTCCTTTGTGCCCCCTTCCCAGTTAAAACATACCCCTTCTTGTCCAGAGGTAACCACCTTTCTGACTTCTACCACCATCAGTTAGTTTTGCTTGTTCTTGAATTTCGTGTAAGTGGAATCATACAGTGGATAGTCATTTCCTTTTGTCTGCTTTTGTGCAGTATAATGTCTCTGAGTTCATCAATAGTTTGTTATATTTATTGTCATGTGGCATTCCATTGTATATATATTCCACAATTAATTTATTTATTCTCCTTTTGACGGACACTTGAGCTATTGCTACTCTTAATTCTGAATAAAGCTGCTATGAATATTATTGTATCCTGGTGGACAGATGCACTAATTTCTCTTGGGTATTTTTCTAGGTAATAGGGTAAGCAGATGTTTATATTTAGTAGGATTTAGGCATTCTTAATCCCCAAGATATCATTAAACAGTCATGGATTCCTCTTCATCTAGAAGGGGAAGTGAGTGGTGGAATTAAAATGTGAATGACGTTAAGCTGCGATACGTGAAGTGCACAGTGAAGAATTTCCTAAGCCGTACAGCAGCTGACAGAGAAAAGCTGAGTGTTGCCTCTAAGTATCAGGGATTGCACAGCACATGGAATGCAGAGTTAGTGCAGAAGTAAGCGCTCATCAGCCTAGAGCAGAAGCTTTGATCAATTAGATGCTGCTGCCCTCATATGCGGGCAGGGAGGGTGGGTTGTGACTCCAGATCAAAAGAGTTGTTCAGATAGGCAACAGACTTCTGGTGTGAACCTCACTACTAAATTAACACACCTAGGGCTCGCTTCGGCAGCACATATACTAAATTAACACACCTATTAGGCAACCTTGTCTTCCCTGAACGATTAGAAGGGTTTGGCACAATTAGGGACATGCAAAGTATAGAGTTGCTGTGGGGAGCTTCTACCTTAGGAAGGGTTCTGGATTCATGTTTTAGTACTCTTGTTTGGGCAATCCTGAATATCCTCTCAGTTGTTTTTGAGTTTAGGCGCTTGAATATAATGGAATAGTTTTTATTTTGGAGGAGGACAGAGAGTGTCTGCCTATAGACAGATCATGACCAAAATTAAGTAGTTTCATATTTTATAGTTAGTTTGTAGTTACAAGTTTTCAATTATGTAGACCAGAATTACATAGAATTGTAGCTTTTCTCTAGACGCTTTGTGTCCTTTTTCAGTCAATTTTATTAAGAGATATTTGAAGCCTTCCTGTGAACAACTCGGATCAGGAGAACACAGCAATAAATTATCTACCTGTTGTATTAGAGTGGATTCTCATGGGAAAATGGAATCATTAAGGTAATTTACTTGGACACTGAGAAAAATATGAGGGTGATTCCATAAGTCCTCAAGCCCCATGGTATTTGCACATGTCCTCAAGCCCCTCAAGTCCTCAAGCAAGAAAGCAACCAATTCTTCTTAACTACTGGTTGCTAAAGAATGCTGCACATATATCCACTGCCATAAAATAATTACTTGTAGAGGGAATGGAGAACAAGGTAGTATTTGGGTAGGAATATGATGAATCTAAGAATCATAATTCTTTTGATTTCTCTGAGGTCTTAAATCAGTAGCATTTCCCATTAGGTTTATTAATTAGCAATGTGAGCATTGCAAGGACTGGTGCAGCAGAATTAGCCCATGTTCTTAAAAAATGGCTTTGAATACGAGATCCTTCAGGTTTGAGTAAGTCTTGGGTAATTTAGGCAGGTGTTTATAAGGATAGATCTGAATCTTAATAGGGTCAGTATTAATAAGCATAGCCCTTAGCCTTTGGATATGGTTCTTATTCCTAAGCTATGGCCCTTCTAGGATTTCAGTGGAATGTTCAAATTGTTTACCGGGCTCCTCTCAATTGGAGGGACTCTGTCTTTCCAGTATTAGGCAACTGTTGACATCTCTACTCAGCTCTTTCATACTTCCAGCTGTTGCTCTCCACTGGATCCTTGGATTTTCACCCAGCACGTGTCAGGAGTCAGCTAAGGATTTGAGAGTTTGTATGAAAATATTGCAACCCCCATCTGTGGCTCTCTTCTTTATGGACTTTCCCTGACCAATATTCAGCCTTTCTGAGAGCCCTGAACACTGGTCCTGACTTCCAAGCCCAGCAAAACTGCCCCTTTGCTTGAGTGTATCCTCCACACATTGGGAAGTACCCCGGATAAATGTGGATCTCAACAAGTGTGTTTTCCTTCTTTCAAGGTATGAATGTTCTCTTGTTCCTGCCTGTTTTTGGTTCCTCTTCAGTGCCTTCAAATGACTGGTTTTTATATTTTGTCCAGAGTTTGTAATTGTTACTGGCAGGAGGCTTAGTCTGTTATAAATACTTTACCATTACTAGAAACCAGAATAGGAGCAGCAGTAAAATGGTGAGTGAGAGGTAGCCAGACCTTCATTTTTTAACCTTCTCCTTCCTTCTGTCTCCCCTCTCTGCCATCAATCTTTCCACCACTGACCCTCACCTAGAAAGGCCCTGGACCTCAGTAAGAAGAAAGGAACAGAATAGGCTATTGGCATGAAGGGGTGGCTCAAGAATTTGGGGAAGAAAGATGATCTCCCTCTGCAAGTAAGTCTCCTCTCATCAATGATATCCTGAAAACACTAGAGTGGTTCCAAATCTGGCTCTGCACAGTTTAAAAACCAAGATGCACAGGCCCCACTCCACACCCACCAAATCAACAGTGGGTGGAAGGGCCAGGTGATTCTGATGGTTAGTCAGTATTGGGAACCATTACCAGAAGAGGCAGGACTCATGTCTCTTGAATGAACGAGTGAATGAATGCATATGCACAACGGGCGATGGTGAGGTCATTCCCACAAGTTAAAACTGCCTGCTCTTCCAAGCCCTGGTCTCCAGTATACTGAGTTGTTGAGGGCTTGTCCGAGTGCTGTGGAAAGTAGCAGCCAGAGTGTGTTTTGACAGTGATATATGATGCCTTGCTTCACGGGAAATAGTTCAGGAACAGCCAGGAAGTCTGAAGTCCACTGAGAATGTGTTAAATGTGAGGTGTCCTGTTAGGTTTCTCAGTCTCTCAACAGTCTTGAAATTTGTTTGTCCTTGTTCCAGTTTATATGCTCCTGAAAAAGGCCTTTTATTGTCCTGCGTCTGTCACTTAAAGATATCCTTAACTCAGGAAACAAACCTCACTTATCTTTAGAAGTGTTTTACTTGGATCAAAAAGCAGCTGAATACAAATGCTTTATGATGCCTGAAAAACAACACCCAGAGGCACAGCTCTAAAGCGACTTTGAAATCCTCCCCTTTTAATACGAATCTTTCTCCTTCGGGAGGATAATTTTTTGAGAGGTAATAATCTGGTTCTTGGTATCAACCCAAGACCCTCTTGCTATTAATTGTTGTAAACAAAGCTCTTGCTTGTAAGATGAACATACATCAAGTTTCAGGGACTTTAAGCTTCCCAATAAGAAAAGGGACGATTTGCAATGAATTAATAGCCTCATTCTGTGACCACATTGGAGGACTTTGGTTTAGGGCAGGCAGACCATCCACCAAAGGGCTTACTTGGGGTAAAAAGATGTGGTTCCCATCCTCCAAGTGCTAAAGATGGTATAAGTTGTCCCCTAATAGATTTCTAGAAGGTACATTGTTATATCTTCACTTTTACTGCAAGTTTATTGCAGTAACACTAATCAATGTGTGTGTGTATTTGTGTTGTGATTTTTCTCTTCTGAAACACAATCAATAAACCAGTTTTGTTTTTAGTTGGTTCTCTTTTTTCTTGCTGCACATTCACATCTGGATTTTCTCTTTTGGAGTGTAACTTCCTGTGAAGCAGCAATGATGATTTTAAAGAAAAAATGAATATAACACCTAGCATAAAGTCGTAGTCCTTTAATATACAAAAGTTTTTTGATACTTATTAATGATAATCATATGCACCATTTGGGCGCCTTGTGAAATCATGGACTATGAAAGCAGAGCTCGAATTGTACTTCTTTGCCACCTATTTTTCCAATAGAAAAGACAACTAGGTGAAAGAGAGTATCTATTTAGAAACTTTATCAACATATTTTCTTTTTTTTAATTGAAGTATAATTGATTTACAGTGTTTCAGGCGTACAGCAAAGTGATTCAGTTATATATATTTATTTATATATATATATATATATATTCTTTTCCAGATTCTTTTTCATTATTGATTATTACAAGATACTAAGTATAGTTTCATGTGCTGTACAGTAGGTCCTTGTTGTTTATCTATTTTATATAACATACTTTCTTTTTCATGTTAGAGTTTTCTAAAGTTTTTGCCCAGCATTATTATTTTATTTGATTTAATCATCCACATGGAATAGAGAATTAATGAGAAGGAAGAGAAGTGGAAAAGAATTAAAATGTGTTTTGGGCAACCAAAGAATTTAAAATGTATACTTTAAACTCAAATTGCATTGATCCTTTTCATATCTATTTGGACATAAAGTTTATGAAGGGGCCCCTAAATTCCTTGTTTTTATGGGATTCTTCCTTAATCTTCTCCCCTTTTTTCCTTTCTCCCTTAGAATGCTAAATGTCCTCCTTCTATGGAGACTAAATTAGGTGCATCTTGAATTCATTTCTTAGAACATAAGAAGTCTTTCTCTTCCCCATAAGCTGTCAGTACCATTTATATTTTAAATGAAAGGCAACCCTTTTCCTGAAGGAGGAACTCCAACTTTCTTTAGGGATTATCTAAACAATGTCACGTGTCCTCTTTTCTCTGCTCCATCTTCACATGAGAAAGCATAAATCATGTAACCCAACAAATAAACACAACTGACATGTTATTTCTTTTTCTATAGAGACATCAGCTCTTTAATCTCCTATTTCTTGTGAGCAGGCCTACTTTGGAGGACTGAAATCCTAATGTATACACAATGGTATTCTGTAAGTAAGAAGGGAAACTCTAATGGAACAGTATGTTAGAGAAATTTAATGTAACATGACTACATGAATACCTCTTGCTGTTTTGCTTCTCTCATCCCGTTTGGCTATAAAAACCAGAAAGCATTCCTGCAGAAAGGAAAAGAACAGCTAGCTAAGAAAGTCTAACCGTGAAGGGCTGGCAATGCTCAGTGCCAAGAACCTGAGACTTTCTTTCAAGCATGATGTTTCATTGTTAAGGTTTTATAAGAAGTTAGCTTTAACCTATTAAGAAAAGGGTGATTTAGAAATTGGGGGAAAAGGAACAATTTTCCCCCATTCATTCTTCTCTAGTATAAACAAGGTATGAGGCTAATGCTTTCTTGGCATAACATGAAGCTCTGAACTAACAAAAGAGTGCAATTAAAGCTCACCTGGCCTCAGAGGTCTTCTTTCCATAAAAGTTAAACTCTAATGATTGGCACTCAGTGGCCAAGATTGGCTCAGGATATTGGCAGCATATTTAATTGATACAGAGCAGTTCTACCAAAATAAAAGTCATTAAACCAACTGGAGGAAACTTAAGAGAGGAGCAGCAGGGAGATCCTCTTTACATATTTTTTTTAAGGGTGAGCCCTGTGGATGGGGTCTGCTGGTGCGAATGTTTGGTTTGTGAGCCTCTCAAGGCAATCCAGGGGTATCTTTAGGAGGCTGCTTCAGAAAGACCAACAACGTGAATCTTGTTCCCAAAGAAAATGGGTTGTGCTGTGATTTTTTTTAAATTTATTTTATTGAAGTATAGTTGATTTACAATGTTGTGTTAGTTTCTGGTGTATGGCAAAGTGATTCAGTTATACATATATATTCTTCTATACATTCTTTTCCATTATGGTTTATTACAGGATATTAAATATTGTTCCCTGTGCTATACAGTAGGACCTTGTTGTTTATCCATCCTACATATAATAGTTTGCATCTGCTAATCCCAAACTCCCAATCCCCCCTCCCCCACCCCCTCCCCCTTGGCAACCATAAGTCTGTTCCCCTATGTCTATGAGTCTGTTTCCTATGTCTATGAGTCTGTTTCTGTTTCATAGATAAGTTCATTTGTGTCATATTTTAGATTCCACATATAAGAGATATCATATGGTATTTGTCTTTCTATTTCTGACTTACTTCACTTAGTATGATAATCTCTAGGTCCATCCATGTTGCTCAAATGGGCATTATTTCATTCTTTTTTATGACTGAGTAGTATTCCATTGTATATATCTACCACATCTTCTTTATCCATTCATCTGTCAATGGACATTTAGGTTGGTTCCATGTCTTGGCTATTGTAAATAGTGCTACTATGAACATGGGGGTGCATGTATCTTTTTGAATTATAGTTTTGTCTGGATATAAGCCCAGGAGTGGGATTGCTGGGTCATATGGCAACTCTATTTATAGTTTTTGAGGAACCTCCATACTGTTTTCCACAGTGGCTGCACCACTTCACATTGCCACCAACAGTGTAGGAGGGTTCCCTTTTCTCCACACCCTCTCCAATATCTATTGTTTGTAGACTTTTTAATGATGGTCGTTCTGACCCATGTGAGGTAATACCTCATTGTAGTTTTGATTTGCATTTCTCTAATAATTAGTGATGTTGAGCATCTTTTCATGTGCCTCTTGTCCATCTGTGTGTCTTCTTTGGAGAAATGTCTGTTTAGGTCTTCTGCCCATTTTTTGATTGGGTTGCTTGTTTATTTGTTATTGAGTTGTATGAGCTTTTTGTATATTTTGGAAATTAAGCCCTTGTTGGTTGCATCATTTGTAAATATTTTCTCCCAATCTGTAAGTTGTCTTTTCATTTTGTTTATGGTTTCCTTTGCTGTGCAAAAGCTCATAAGTTTAATTAGGTACCATTCATTTATTTTTGCTTTTATTTCTATTGCCTTGGGAGACTGACCTAAGAAAACATTGGTACGATTTATGTCAGAGAATGTTTTGCCTTTGTTCTCTTCTAGGAGTTTTATGGTGTCATGTCTTATATTTGTCTTTAAGCCACTTTGAGTTTATTTTTGTGTTTGGTGTATTTTAACTTCATTGATTTACATGTGGCTGTCTAACTTTCCCAACACCACTTGCTGAAGAGATTGTCTTTTCTCCATTGTATATTCTTACCTCCTTTGTCGAAGATTAATTGACCATAGGTGTGTGGGTTAATTTCTGGCCTCTGTATTCTGTTCCATTGAGTCATATGTCTGATTTTGTGCCAATACCACACTGTTTTGGTTACTGTAGCTTTGTAGTATTGTCTGAAGTCTGGGAGGGTTATGCCTTTTATCTTGTTTGCTTTGGTCCAAGTGATTCCCAACTTTCAACCAATAGGGAGCAGGCAGTGGAGCAAGGCATTCTGGGACTCAGGTTTGGTGTGGTAGCTGCACTGATAGCATCTAGGAGAGCCAAGTTGCTTTGTGTGGAATAAATGAATCCCCTGTAACAAGCAGATAAAATGAACTCTTTTTCCCAATCCAAGGCTAGATAATGGGTGGTAAGTATGCCTCCATTCTACAGTGAGGTACTAGACCCTCATGGAGGACCAGCAAAGGGAGTGGTGATAACCTGACCCCAACACTCACCTCAAAGATAGAAAAGGCTGATGCTAGATATTAGAGAGAACCTAGGCAGTTGGGTGTGTTTTCCCCCCAAGCAATATATCACCTGAGCCACAGTAGCCTGTAATGTATGGCTTTAATATATTACCAAGGGAAAATGTTCCAGTGTGGGTGGTGGTGAGTTTGATGGGGCCCAGCACAGGAAGCTTCAAGGAGACCACTTGGAAACCTTGTTGTGTCCTGGGAGTTTGAGGAACCCCCTGGACTATTGTCTCAGGAATGTAAAAGTGAGATGCTGTGGCTATTACCCTGATGCAGCAAGGAGAGAGAGCGAGAGCAACTGTGATGTATCAGGAACTAGCTACACTTCCCACCAAGGGGGAGGGGGAAATTCCAGGGATATGTGAGTGGTTTTTTCTTGGACCAGAAGTAGGCAATGTGGGAGAGAGCCCTGCTGGAGGCATTTTGCATCTTCCCAGAAGGATGAACTAGAGGGGTGATGTGACCCCATCCAGGGTTGGACAATGGAATTCCCTGGGGCTGAGAGGAAGAAAGAAAAACAACCAGCCAGAGGGAAATGCATTACACACATGAAGAGAATTATAGTCTAATGTTCCCACTGTGATCTCTGAAGAACTCAGAAATGCACCACAAGAAAGGAGGTCAGCTTGAACCATTCACCCAATTTAGGGAGCATCAGCTTAAGATAGCTATACAGCAAGAGGAGATCCACCCCAGGTGATATTGGTGTCAGTCAAGTAAGATCTTTTATGCTGCTGTCCCCTCCCCCTCCCCCATTCTACAACCTTTCAGGAGGCTGGGCATCCTAGTGAGTTGGGGAGAGCAGAAGTGGGAGAAACAGAAAAAGAAATAGAGAGGAATCTTCCCCACTGCAGGTCTTCCTGCTGCAGAGCCCTGGTCTTTGAGAGGGGAGAAGGTTTGACTTTAAATGCAGTTCAGAATTCTCACAGTAACACTGGGCATTTCGATTTTTGTGATTTTTTTTTTTTGTCATTGTCAGTGATCAGAGGATTTTTTGTTAACTAGGAATGAGTGGATAGCTGTGAGTCCTTGTATTACTTGTGATTTTACTTATTATCTAAGAATTAATAGTAATATAATAATTAATCATGCTATTATGCTATTATCATGTAAGAGTGAGTGGATAAGCTGTGGGCCCACATGAGGTGTCATCTGGGGGTCAAGGAACAATGAGCCTCAGACAGTGAACTTGAATGGGACTTGAACAGGAAAAGAGGTATGTTCTGGTTGACCAGCGCATGAGTCAGTTCTGCTCAATCAACATGCCAGGCAGAATTAGGAAATTACTTTATAAAAGAAGATGTTTCCCATCCCTCTTCCTCACCCTGACATAGATATTTTATGCTCCTGAAGTGCATTTTGGGTAAATAAACAATCAAATAAATGGTTTCTGGAGCAGCTAAAAACATCATTAGAGAATTTAGTGTTCATGAAAATGAAGGGGAATACACAGCCTCTTCAAGGTTCACAGACTATGTTAAATGTTACTTTGTCCAGGATACAGGTATGTTTCATAGCGATCATCCTCCCAGTGGGTAAGAATCTGGAAATAAAAATTAATAGGACCATTTTTATGCAGTAAGAGAGACATTATGTGTAGAGCTATTGGTGGCAGGCACATGGCCACTTTAATAAAGTCTCACTTTAAACATCCACCAACACTTGATGAGATCACTTGTATGTTTTTTTTAATGGTGTGTTAAGTTCTAAAATATCCAGTTGGTAATCTGTTTCTGAAGTAGGGCTCTTCAGAGCACGACAAGGTAATCAGTTCAGAATAGCAAAACTCTGCTGGCTAGTGCAGCTCTCTGAGGTCAGGTGGAACATCGGCTCTTGAAGAATGTAAACTGGTGAAATAAATTGTAGATAAAGATAAACTTGTTCATGCAGGAGGAGGAAGGAGACTAACAAAGCTGCTCAACTCTTGAAAAGCATCATTTCTCAATGCGGTCTATGGAGTCTTTGGAAGGAAATGGTGATTAGTACAAAGGCTGCAGGGTGTCTGATAATTAACGTTTTATTTAGGTTCTTATTTGATTAATGTCTGTTCATCCACTTAGCTTCCTGAGAGCAAGAACTCCTTGTCTCTCAGATTTAAAATGCTGCCCAGGCCTACAATCATTTGGCCTCTTTTCTTTTTCTTTCATTGTCAAGGGTATTTCCCTGGGAAGGACATCATCTACTGTCTCTCTCATCAACAACTCCCTCTACTAGGCCACACACGCTGCCCACCTTCGCGTGTCTCTCTCAGGGCTTGCGGGTGGGGGTAGTGGAGGGGTGTGCAGGCGAGGGGCTCCTGCACACACAGGCCTGCGGCAGCTTGGATACACTCGGGAGACACTGGCCCTTTGCGGCAAATCCAGAAGTGGTAACTGACCTCTAGTGAATATCCCTTTTATTTTGGTTGGTCAGTTTTTCTGGTAGAACATACTTCAAATTGCAGAGAAATGTAAGCCTTCTTACACTGTATCAGGGCGGCTTGGTACAGTGAGAAAATAAAATGCAGAAAAGCGCCAGGGTTTACTCTTTATCCTGGGGCCCCTTCTTCTTCATGTCAGCACTGACAACTCTGTCAGGCTACTCTCCATTTCAAGAATAGTAAACAGACTGTGGGGTGTGTGTGTGTGTGTGTGTGTGTGTGTGTGTGTGTGTGTGTGTGTGTGTGTGTGTGTGT